TTTGTTGTGTTTTTTTAGTTTTACTTTTTTAAAATAGCACATTACAAGTGAAATAATCTTCTGAAATCTTAAGCTTCAGCACGTGCTTCTGTTTGCGCTTGCAGCAAGAGAAGTCAGAAATACTTTCAGCAAACTCAACTTATATCTGATTTTGGTCTTTGAAATCTAGTTGCTGACTTCTTGAAGTACTAGAATCAAATCCAAAGTCAGAGTTAAGTTTTATCTGATGCTATGTATAGATTTGGGATGTATACAAGAGTTTATAATCATACTGACTTCTGAAAGCTAGCATGTAAGCTCTATGGGAGCAGGGACTGTATCACTGTGGTGCCTACCTGAGGGCCTAACAGCGTTACTACAATAAAAACAAGAATACTGCTGAACACAGACTCATTTATTTTTCTACAGACCCCAAAAGAGAAGAAATGCTCCTGGAAAAGCACTACATAAAATGAGGCCATATATGTCTTTCTTCCAGTAGCACACAGTGAAAACTCTACGGGGATGACTCTGCTAGGTATACAAAGAACCTGCACTGTACATCCTGTAGGTTATAATCATGACTATAACACAACTGCTAAGCTATACTGTAGTGTACATCAGTTCATATTATTGCAAAATATATATTCCAATAGCTCCACTTGAATAATTGGGTGTTAAAACCTTACCATTGTCAGGCCTTCCTATATCCATGAGGTTATCATCAGTGACACGTAAAATTACACTGTATTTTGTCACTCTCCTGCCATGCACTTTATACTATATGCAGAATTAATCAGCAGAAGCATGTCCTCACACCAGCTCTGGCTACTCCCCACCATATGCTGGAAAACTGAATGAAGTATTTCAGCAGAAGCACAGCAGGAAAGGAAGAGAGTGAGGAACTTGTCTGTGAACAGGAAGACATTAGGAAGACAGACATGGCAGTAATCAGCTGAAAACTAGGCACATCCATGGAGCTTTTTTTTTTTTTTTCACTTTCAATTCCTCAATACATAAACATCCAGGCTATGAACTTTAAAACCATCATAAAAAAAAGTCGGATTACCCTAATCTTAAGGTATAAAACTCCATCTTTTACCAAGTTCTGCAAAATTGAAAGCCAGATTCTTTATCTACTGACTTTGAGTGTATTATATCTAAAACCGATGTACTAACAAAAGCTTGCAAATCAAAGACTACAAAAAAACAAGGTATGAGCATGCATCTCAAAATCTATTATCTAATTGCCTCAACTTTTAATTGCATTTAAAGGTAATAAAATTTACATCTTTTTCACAGCCTTATAAAAGCTGAGTCCTATCTTTTAAGTCAACCTTTCTGCCCTCATCTGTTATCAATTCAAAGGCAATGAGAAGCTTTGGTGTGCTAGCAGTGCTTTTAAAATAGTCAAATGAAACTTTCAAAGCAACTGCTATAATGATACACCAGGCTGCTAATTTTTTGAACACTTGATCAGACTGTATGGTTGGTTTGTTTTTTAAAAAGTAGCCTAAAGAAACTGCTGATATATAGTCTATGCTTAACTCTTCTTTAAGAACCTCCACAGGACACTCAATGGAATAGCTCAAGGTTGAGTTTTCATAGATTTAAGGGAGGAAGGGGGGCAACACTGTTTTCACAGATAAATTCACTTCATTAATAATTAATTTAACAGGCTTTTTTTTTTTCCTTTTAATGTTTTTGATTGAGAAAATGACTGCATTAGGCTATAGAACTACAAAATTCTTGAAAAGCTAGGGGAAAAGTGAGCTGAAAACCAAAATCTAGTTTAAAGTTGAGTAATCGAAATGCTTCATTCCTGGGAGCAACAGTGGCAGCTTCATGAGCCACGTCCGAGGCGAGCGCCTGTGATTCCCCGCAAAACCAGCACCCGGGCAGGCTGCGAGCAGCTTCTCCCGCACAGCCGTCTCTCGGCTGCCATCTCCTGGGTAGGCTCCTCATAACACAGCCATCCCCTCGCTCCGCTCGTTGCGTGACAAGCCATCAGTTGCTGTTCTCAAGCATCAGGTGGAGTGCTCTCTTGAGCACAGAGCAGATTGAAAGATCAAAATCAGTAAAGAAAACTCTTAAAATTTAACAGTGATGGTATGTGGACATTCAGCCAGACAAATGGCTGATGAGCGTATTCAAATATAGCCAAGACATCTTTTTCAGGACAAACTCCTGCTTGGAAGACATGTGCTTCCTTTCCACAAACGCCCCTCATCTGGCAGATCTATACAGGAATCACACGATGACCCTCTGGTCTGCATCATCTGTTCCCAGGAACATCTGTCAGCACCTGGAGCCAGCACCTCCAACACAGCCAGAAGAGCCACAGAGGGGTAGGATTACCCTCTCCCATAGCTAACGCAGAGAAACAGAGAAAACTTGTCCCAGATAGCTAAGACTGAATTATGTATTGATCTGCAGCTGCCCATCATCCCACTCACAGACCTCACCAGAACACAAGGTAATTCCCAACCAGCAGCCTAGTCCTGCTGTGTGAAAATCAGGACATCTTTCCCTGACATGAAGTAAGACACAGCTGGGATTCATCCTCTGGCCTTGAAATTTGTAAGCACTTCTGTGTCACTCCAGACACAGCCTTAGGCAGCTATCTCAGAGTAATTTGCCCTCTTAATAGAATAGCTCCCTAGCAGAGAGGGTAGCCCTACAGAGGGAGCCAGGACACTGAGCTCGGAATATGGACTTAGATTTCAGTAAGATACATTCACCTCTAATTATGCACATCATCCCTCCTCAGGGCATTTCCATTTCGCTTTTAGATGCCAGCTGAAGAACCCGAAGTTACACAAGACTGATACATCATTGTTCCAGAACAAAGCAGTACTTGCCTCATGCACAGCTAGGAACACAAAATGACATTTCATTGTTTTAACCATGGCAGCGTACACACATTGTAACACTCAGCTGTGACTCAGTACAACATCTCTTCCATTCATTGTTCCGAGTCACTGTGGGGAAGTACACAATTATTCTTTCTTTTCTGCACCCTCCTTCCCAGCTGCATTGCTGATGGAGAAGGTGCACTTAAGGTCACCCTGCAGAAATCTTTCTGAAGACTGCAGGACTAGAGAGGCACTAGTGCACCACAGGAATTGTCCCTGATCTTGGGCACCCAGGTACAATTTAACTGTTCTAAATACCCCTCTTTTTCTGCATCAGAGCACAGCACCAGTATGGAAGCACTGCATAAACCACCCACTACAACCAAGCTAGCCATTTAGTTTTGTTAAATTAATATACCAATGAGTTGCTTGGTAACAGCAAGCATAAAAAAATTAATAAAAAATTGGGAAAGTTCATGTATTTCTTTCTTTTCTAAAAAATAACAATCATTATTATTTGACAGGGGAAGTGATCAGTACTCCAGATTCTGCACAATTCCTGGCAAAACCAACATTTGAATAGTAGAGGGCTTCTCTCCAAGCCAAAGGAAAATTCAACTGTGAACTTGCTCAGCTCTGCTCAGATAATAGGGCCCACATGGTTTGGAGGCTGTGTATGTTTAAGCACACAAGTAGCAGCTGCTGTCCTGCAGAGGAAAGACTCAGTTCCATTGAGGAAAGTGCACCAGTAAGTTAACAAGCCCAGTTTAAACATGCTTCTGCCTGAAGTTTTAGGTTTCATGGAGGCTTACTTAACCCAGATACAGTAGCCATCACTATTAAAACTTAAATGACTAGGGGAAAAAGACTGCCTACTTTTCTCATTTTATTCTGTGCAGCTGTTTGTAGATTCTTTACTACAGACACAATGAACTGAATTATACAGCTGAGGCTTAAGTGTTGTGTGATGTAACAATATATAAACTTCAGCAAATAACTGAAGTGCATTTCCCTTCCTTTGTATGTCATCTACATTGGTAATTATGACTAGATAAAACTGCCTCTCAGCATGATAAAAATACCATACACAACAGGACTTTGAAACCTTAGCATCTGAACACTATCATGGCATAGTACAATAACATAAATAAAATCTTACTCAGATGAGCAGCCCATTTTTTACTGTGAAAGCACAGGTATACTATGTCAGTCTTTTTATCTTTTAACTAGGTTTCAAAACAGTAGCAAGAGAAAAAAATGGTTTCAAATAATAAATGTGAATATAAATTAATACATATACTGCAAAAAGTTCAAGACTCCCCTTCCTTTGAAAAACTAATTCATTTCAATTACTCTGAATCCTAACACGTCTGAAGTCAAACTACAAATTCTAATTAAACTTACAGTTGTCTATGTGTAATAATAGCTGGTTATTTATTTTCTGAAGCATCATACAACTACACAGCCAAGAAAACTGCTTCAAAATTAATCATCTCTCATGATTTTGATTCTGTGATCATTAAGTAGTTTCAAGTTTGTGTGTTACTGCTAATTCAAGTTTGTGGCTGGTAGAGTAGGAGATCTAACCATGAATCAAGGTCTATCTAGATTTTTTTAATGCACTGGACTAGTAATACAAGCTGCACAGGAAAAATGCTTCCGTAACAACTACTGCAACATAACCACTAACAAAAAGTTAATAATTCTGGGGTATAGTTTGTATTTTATTCTGTGTCCGTACCAAAATGTTTAATCTACTTCAAGTAACTTTCATGTTACAAGAATGTCAAAATAGCATAAAGCTTGCAAACTGATTCTACAGTCATATAAAATTAAACTACTCAGGCCTTTTAAGATTAAAAAAAAAATCCCAATTGTCCTGTTGTGACCTCCCATGCAGGCAGTAAACACAGACTACCAATGTAAAGGCATTAAAGCAGTATGTATTGCAGAGGATTTAACACCTTGTAACAAAGAACTTTAGGAAAGATGGTTTTAAAAACTGACTCTGTGTTAAAATGCACACGTTATTTCCAAGGAGAGTTAAGAATAATTAAAAAAATCCTAAGTATTACTCACTCGTTTCACTAAGTCCTGATTAAATTCTTGAGATACTTCAACTCCTTAAAATCTGTAGAAAGAACTCAAAGCTAAACCACTGTGCTCATTAGGAGAAGTAACACTTTATTTTTAAAAGAGTACAGTTATTTTTCTGAATTTGCCCAAAAGCATTCCTTGTTTTCTTTCCAAGAATATTCATCCTCATAAATCTCCTGCAAATATAAACAAAGAATAGGAAATATGGTGGGAGTCTGCTACATACAGCCACAAGCCAGGCCAAACAACTCAACAGCCATCCTGCTATTATTGACTAATCACAACAGGACTACACAGCACTTGGCTGGCAAACAGAAAAGAGGGCACAACCCTTGGAATATACTGACCTACATGTGGGCAGATGCTGAACCTCAGAGCTGAGCCCCATTAAATTTAGAAGGACCCATCTATACTGAAGTCAATTCAAGAAAGAGATCTAGAAGAAATTATGTAAAAGCTGTGGAGTACACAGCACTTGTATCTGAAACTGCTCTTTTTACATGTTGCCATGTTAATCTACTCTACTATTATTTTAAATTTTTATTTTATTTTACCATTATATTAAAATTACAACAATACACAAAATTCACTATGTAGTAGACCTTCAGAACAGACTGGACTACCCAGCAGGAGTCCAGTCCTAAGCAGCAATTTCAGCAAGGCTCTGAGCCTCTGATTATTCTTTCTGAGACCACTGAACTTCAATCTCCTTAAAGAGGTGTCAGGAAAGTGGAATAATGCAGAGAACATCACATGCAGTTACCACATGCCAAGTTCTGCCTGGGAGAGAAGGAAGAAGTAATGCTTGTTACCTGAATGCAAGTGGCTATGTAGTGAGGCTCTTTCTAGACACAGGCTGGTCTCACCACACATTGTTGCGTGTCTATACTAGCTTTGGGAACTCTGCTCATCCCTTCATTGTGTGCTGTTGCTTAATACTTTATGCTTTCTTAAGGCCATGGGGATGAGGAGAAAACAGAAAGACAAGAAATGCCACTTTTACTTGCAAACTGCAATGCTGTCCAGAGTAAAGCTGACTCAAAGTTCTTCCACAAAGCTATGCAGAATTGAGTTTTCTCACTCAAAAGAGGAGAGCCCAGGGCTCCTTCCTTCACTTTGACCCCCAGATGGTGTTAAATGAAAGAGGAGCTGAACGGTACAGGCAAGGGAGGGTCTCTCAATTGCTGTACCTGCCAAACATGGGCCTAGCTGCATAAGAGGAAACCCAGTGGTGCCAGATACTGGCATCCTGTCAGAACCAACTACTGCCTGCAATGCTCCAGCTGCTTTTATTAAGAGCAGCAGCAGCCTTTAGCCCAGCTGTCTAAAGGGCTGTCTAAGACTCTGGCACAGGCCTAAAATCAAACTTGTCCCTGAACATACCTTTTTCCATATTGGGACAGATGCTTTTAAGGTGTTGATGCAGTATGTTACAGCTTCAAGGGATTCTGCTCTGTGTGGAGAGGAGACTGCTATAATTACACTTGCTTCAGTTATTGGAACCACACTAG